TGTATGTAATATACCAAATTCAGCAACAAGGCAATCCCTTTTGTTTTGTCCCCCAAACCGCCGGCAATTGTGTCTATATATATATGAATTGATGCCTCCAATTTATATGTTTAAGTTCTCCAAGTTGCCGCCCAATTTGCCTGCCGATTTATGCCTAACTGTGATGGATTTTTGACGTATAATTCAGCCGGCTATTGAATGTTTATAATTGTATTTCAGCCCACTAATCTGCCACCCACTAGATGTGTTTTTCTGATGGATTTCAGCAGGCAATCAGCCCTAAATCTGCCGATTTTCAGTCCTTTAATCAGCCCTAAATCAGCCGATTTTCAGCCCTTTAATCAGCCCCTAAATCAGCCTTTTATCAGCCCTAAATCTGCCGATTTTCAGCTTGATAATGTGTGTTTAATCCCTCCAATTTTGCCCACTAATGTCCCCTTCAATCTGTATATCAAAGAGTAAAATATAGCAGCCACCAAATTCTCCTTTCTTCTCTGTTTTTCTTCCGCCGCTAACTGCTCTTTTTTTCAGGCTTTTTCGGCCAGCTCCTCCTCCTGGGAGAAACCCTTTCTTTTTTCAGCAACAAGTCTAGCCCAATTTTGTACCTTTTGTCCATTATGTGGCCCACTTACTTTTCAATCCTTGAGTCCGCTTAATTGTGAAATCAATGCCAATTTAGTCCCTGAGTCCACTTAATTGTGAAATCAATGCCAATTGAGTCCCCGTAATTTGGAGTTGGTCCACTTTAGTCATTTTTTCGCTATTTTGCACTCTTTTCTTCAATTCTTCGTCAAACATTGAATTTTACCTACAAGATGAAATATAACACAATTTAAGTCATATTTTGCCAAAAGAATAATAAAATTCTATAATTTCGAGTCCCGAATAAGTGTAGAAAATACACTTATCAGCCATCCTTCTTTTTCCTGTGCAGTATTTTGCATGCTGCTTGAAGAGAAGATATATCAAATAGCTCCTCATCTACAGTGATTGAACTAAGCACATTCATGTATGTTCAACAAGTAAAATATTTATGTTTCGCCTTATCCTTTCTTGTAACTCACTATTAATAACATTCTATATTACTTTTCTCTAGGTAAGGAAATAAGTGATTCAAACAAACTAGAATCATATATTTAGAGACAATAGTTTTTTCTCAAACAATGACAGGAACATACCAGTACTAAAATAATGCCATAAACTACTCACACTCATCATAGGCAACACGCAAATCTCACATGAATGGGTAAAACACATTATTATTCGTCCCTTGCATCACCATCATCTCCAGTTCCCTACGTGCCAACCTCTTCGTAATCCTTCTGTAGAGCAGCTAGGTCTTCTTGAGCTTCAGAGAATTCGCCTTCCTCCATTCCCTCGCCCACGTACCAGTGAACAAAGGCACTCTTCGATACATGAGATCAAAATTAATGTCAATGCGTGAGAACACCTTGGCCACACTAGTTGAGTTGGAATCATGCAGATGGCTTTCTGTACCCTTGCAAGATCGCCACCGGGGACAACAGTGGGTGGCGGTAGTTTATACCACTCTTGAAAATAGTAGGGCACCAGTCGACAAACTGGATAGTCCGCTTAGTCTTGATGGTTGCACCTATAGGGCACCTGTCAACAAAGTGAAATTGTGGAACAAAGAGAACATCATGTAATATCAATGAGGGACTGAGACGAATGGACCCATAAAGTTTAACATGTATGCGAGAGTTGTTAGGAAGAGTAACAAATGAATTGGAAATGAGAACTATAGTATGAAACAAAGATTGATCAAAACAAACATGGTTAGTAGCACCAGAGTCTACTATCCAACGTCGAGGAGACTGAAATATAGGATGTTTGGAAACTAAGAAGCATATACCTCATGTGTGTGTTAAGTTCACATCAGTGCCTGTGTATGCTTTTGCTGTTGTCAAATGAGGGTTTAGCATGGCTAAAGTGTTGATACTGATCCGAATTCAAAGTCTGAACAAAACCGTTCACATTATCCTGATGATTAGAGTAATCTGAGACCTGATTTGCTGTTGCAGTGATCTTCTAATTTGAGAAATTGACCTTCTGCCGTGTTTTGTAGCCAGGGGAAAATCGTGGAGTTTATAGCACTTGTCTATTGCATGCCTAATCAGACCACAATAAGTGCAGTCAGGACAATACTTTCTCTGAAATTTACCAGATTGCTGAGTATGATAAGATCTATTTCCCTCATTTTTTGATGGAAAAGGCCATTGGACTATTGTTGCTCGATATTCCGTCATCATGGCCCTCTGATGTTCCTCTTGAGAAACAAGAGCAAATACCTTATTCATAGGTGGTATTGGATCCATAAGTAGTATCCGACCGCGAGTTTATGCAAAAGAGTCATGCAGCCCCATCAAAAATGACATGACATACTCAATTTGATAGTGAGCTTCCAAGGCCTTAGTTCCCTCACATGTACAGTTTCCACATGAGCAGTTTGGTCGATAATTGCTCGATTCCTTCCAAATTGTCTTCAATTTAGTGAAGTAAGCTCCTACATTTAGCTGAGCCTGAGTGTGGTTCATCATATCACACCTCAATTGGAAGATACGTGGTCCATTTCTTTGCTGGAATCTCTCTTTCAGATCCTTCCAGATTTCGAAGGCAGACACCAAATATATGATGCTTGCTGATATTTCTTTAGACACGGAGTTGAGTATCCAGGATATAAGAATGTTATTGTTTCGAAACCAACCATTGATCAGATTATCATTACCTTCAGATCTTGTGATTGAACCATCAATAAAACCTAATTTGTTCTTAACTGACAAAGCAATCACCATACTTCTGCTACATGAGGTATAATTCTCTCCAATCAATGGCTAAGAAACCAGAATGAGACCTGGACTGTTAGAATGGTGGAGATGGCAAGGACTCAATCCATCATCAACAATGGAATTATTGTCCAATAACCTCGAGGTATTAGTTGCCATGGTGTATAAAATCAGCGATCAGGCTCAGATGTGGAATAGTGGCAGGATTCTTTTGTTGAAGAAGAAGCAAAATCAGAAATTCCACTTGCGCTCTAATGCCATATTGAATTAAAAGAGGATTGAATTGAACAAAAAGGCGGGAAGCTTCTTATTAAATTGAAGATATGAAAATTATAAATTACAATGTATCAGCCAAAGATATCTATACATAACGGAATTAACAGAATGGAAAATGGCGGGAGAATGAAAACATGACAGCTGACAGCTTAGCTAAATATCTAACATCTAATACGAAGGATCGAAAATAATTTTGGAAGATTAAGAAGATTAATATTGAGAATAACTTTGGAGTTCAATTTTCTAGGACAAGCGTGATTGTAATGGAGTAATTTTAAGCAGGGACAGTTCATAATAATGGGAAACTTACAAATATAATACTTTTATATATCAATTATTCATCTTTCTTATTTATTGGTTATAATCTAGTTACAATTTTTCAATACTTTAGTGCATACATCATTTTATTTTATTTTTTCCTTTTGCTGATTTGTTGGGTATAGTTTTTTTAAATGGACTATATTATGTGAGCTGGATAATTGTCTTTTGTAGTTCTTTTTTTTTCATTACTTTTGTGCCATTTAAATTTTTTAAAAAAAAAATCTTAAAATTTCTTATCACATTATACGAGTGTGGTGTCCTATAATTATGGGGTCCTGTGCGATCGCACTTGCCTGGGGATTGTCCCTGCATTCACATGTCCCATACAATTTAAGGATATTGCTATGTGGACATAGCAGCGGATATAGGTGTGTACATAATACGCGAGTGCGAGTCCCACCCCTCTCACATTATGTACCATGTTATGTACACATCGTTAAATTACTCTAAGTACTGTTGCAAAATGAGACAAGCCTAAAATGACCTCATTCCTAATTTTGGGATTGCATAAGCCTATTAATTTGTCGAGTTGAGTTGGAAAACTAACCATGGATTAATTAATAATATTAATAGGTAGCGGTTGATGGCCTTATTGATTAAATAATTTATGGAATGCTCACTTTTCATTGTCTTTGTTTATTTGAATTTCATTTTTTATTGTGAAGATATATTTTTTAGTCAACTCTGATTCACGCGTCTGCAGTTCTAGAATGAATGATTTTTCTAATTTCTCTAGTTGTTCAAATTTTTTTCATATTTTTTGTGATTTAAAATATTGTAATGATTTATGACTGTTGACCAAATATGTTATGAAAAACTAGAAGGTTTTTTTGCTTAGGAATAAATTATTTCTTTTTTAAATTAATACCATATTATATTTAAATGCACCAAATCCTAAGTATTAAAATGTCGTTAACTTTTTCGTCACGTTCTTATCTTTAATATTTCATTAATTAGCGAATCTTGTACTTAAGGAACAAATATTTCGGCCATATTTGACAATCATTATTTCAAAATTATTTAATTATCATACTCATTTTCAATTACACATTTAAACAATAAAATATTTTGCGCGTAAATTCAAAACATTTCCCCATTTTATAACCACACATTCTCCAAAAAATCAATATCCAAAACTCAATTGTTTCAAAATAATAGCCATCAAATAGGAGCTTAGTTGTGATTTTGTATTTTTTTTTTTCCCTTATTCTTAAATACATGGGACAACTAAGCCATGTTTGGTAGAAATTAAAATGATCATATTTTTAATAGATTTTTATAGATGTTGATGAAATGTGGGTTAAAAAAGTTGAGAACCCAAAAAAAATCTGGTTTAAATGAATTGTGACTTTGACTTAGATTAAAATTTAAATTTTAATCGGTACCAAACAAGGACTAAGTCTTTTTATTCCTCCTAATAGAAATTTGGTTAGAAACCATTATCTAGATCAATATATGAAAAGTTGGAATAAGAATGAAGTGAGAAAAAAGTTGAAGACGTAAGTGCGATAATGAATAAATGTTACTAACCTTTTATGCAATTGAAATATAGTGCAAATATAAGAAACATAACCTCAAATAACTTATAAAATGGCAAATTTAATGAGACGTATATAATATAACCCCCAATGTAAAAGTTATTATTTTTCACAAAAAGCTATATCTTAAAAAGTTATGTTATTATTTGCAACCGAAAAATGCCATGGTTAAAAATCTCATTTATAATGAAGCCCAATCATAAATAACTATCACAATATCCTGACAAATATATTTTTTTTTTTTTTGTAATGGAAATTACACCATCATAAATTTGTAGTAAAACCCACTTTATCAGTTTTACCCTTGTAGAAATTTATTGGAGATGCCCATATCAACAATTGTCACCAACTCGTAGATAATTTACTTGTGACAGATTGAGCAGTTTTTGTGACTTCTATTATCACGAAATCGACATGTGATCTTGTCGTTTATGGCATGTCCTTGGACACCCAAAAATCGACATGAACATTGCAGGTAGACATATTGATGCTCAAGATATTAATGAAGATGCATAAGTTTTGGGGGCAATTGATAGAAAACCCCAAGATATTAGACCATATGTCATTTCCTTAACCATATAGTTGCCAATATATATAAAATTCTAACCAGTGAAGCTTCTATTCACCTATTTATTGCCAAAATGTCATACTTATACTTTTGCGTCAACAATCTTCCTTTTCCATTTTCAAACCAACCCCACCATTGCTATTTATTTATAAACAAATGGTCAACTTTCCATACGTACAAACTTTTCATTGCTTCAACTTGTCATTTGTTTGTAGGTCGTGTTTAGTCCTTTAGCATTAAATAGAATTAAACAATGAATTATATTATTTGTACATAAAAATAATACAAAAAAGATTACATAGAATGATGTGCAGGGAAAAAAATGGATGAAAAAGTTGACTGTATTTTAAATTGACAAATGATAAAGTGACATGTGACATTACATAAATCATTATGTAAAGTTGAATGTACATGTAGCAATGTCTTCAAACAGTATCATGCAATAATTGAACTTTTTTTTTAACTCTTTACTAGTGTTTAGCTCTTCTTAATTGTCTTTAAAAAATATGTATGTCATCCGTTAGGGATTAGGATAGACCAATAATCATAATCTCCAACAACATAAACCTTGGACAACTCCAATAGAAAGAATCTAATAAATCTACAACAATAGTAATACTCAGTCACCTCCAACAATAGAAAGTATTCAAGTTCAGGTTCAAATTCAAATTTCTCCAACAACATAAACCTTGGACAACTCCAATTGAAAGAATCTATTTAATCTACAACAGCAATAACATTCAATCACCTCCGACAATAGAACGTATTCGCGTTCAGGTTCAAATTCAAATTTCCAACAACATAAACCTTGGAAAACTCCAATAGAAATAATCTAATAAATCTACAACAATAGTAACAGTCACCTCCGACAATAGAAAGTATTTAAGTTGAGGTTCAAATTCAAATTTCTCCAACAACATAAACCTTGGACAACTCCAATTGAAAGAATCTATTTAATCTACAACAGCAGTAACATTCAATTACCTCCGACAATAGAACGTATTCGCATTCAGGTTCAAATTCAAATTTCCATTCAGTTTAGATTATTGTTATTTTATCCAAAATACATACAATATTAGGTTGCTATATATCTTATAATAATTTTATAGAATATATTAGGATTAAGTTTAATATGTATTCATCAAGATTAACAAAAAGAC